TAGTGCTTCGATCCGGATGGGTTTTTAACGGATCAATCCGCGGTTTACTACGGTTTGGCAACGGTTTATTTGAGTTGGAGCTATAAGTTTGGCCAAAATTAATAAAATTTGAAGAAGAATAATTTTTTCAAATCTGACAAAAATTATAGTTTGACAAAAATAATAGAAAAATGTTGTGATCCTAATCAACGGATCAATCCGGATAGAAGCACTAATACGTAATTGTGCATTTTTCCGTATCCTATTATGATACGTTATTTCTAAGGAAAAAACCGTATAAAAACTTTATAAAAACGTATCCAATTTTTTTATAGGGACCAAGAAAAACTTCCTTTGTAACTTACATGTTGGTTCTCCTAATTCATTACGAACGTTTATTACAATACGATCTCCTTTTTTGGCTTCTATAGTTGGACCAGGGTATTGCCCATTAATAGTTGCCAAGCTACGAGTAAATCCATCCGGGGCTAAAGTAACTCTTTTTAAAGTGATATCGAAAATATTTTTTTTTGGCTCACAATTCCGGGATTTAATAAGTTCTTGGTTCAAAATTGGCTTAGATAAAACTAAAGTTGCCCAAAAAATAACGCAAAAAAGATGAACAAATAATTTATAAAAAATCATGACAATTCGATTGTTAATTCAAATGAATTGGTCGATGATTTGAAAATTTCTTGGTATTTTTATTAGTTTTTTTGGCAAGGTCACAAATTTTTGGGACAATAAATTCGCTTCTCACTTAATTGTCTTTATGCACATCCATTGTGGTGTTATAATTACGCACACGACCTTTAGGCTAGACTGAAAGGTGAAACATCTAAAAATAGCTCTTTTTTTGTCTTTTTTAAAATATTCGTACATATAATGAAATAAATGATTTCCTATAGATAGAAATCTGATTCTGTATACGGAATTGACGAAGATCTTCAAATGTTTTTCTTGCCAATTTGCAAGGTAACATGGGTGCATGGGTGACGCCTACTGACCATTTATGGTCCGGTTATATTGCATTTTTCCTCGAACGCTTCTTCTGAAGAATGTTACGAGTTCCGGTGTTGTTAAGAATCTTTCTTTCAATACTGGATTAAAGGGCATGGTATTTCTACGAGCGATCAACCGAAAAGTATATATATAAAGGAAGTTTGCGTAAGATTTTCAAATCAAATTATTTACGTAAACTTGTAAATTTAGTAAGTCGGTAATTCCAGAAATGAAAAGTTGCTTATTTTAATATTTTATGCCACGTGTATTATGTATTCTGAAGACGTTCCCATTTGACATTACAAATACTTAGGGGATGGCCAGAAATGACGTAATTTAAATTTTAGGATTTTTGATCCCCCCCTCCCTATGTCATCATTCATTTTAGGAAATGACACACTCTTAACCCCTTAGGAAATGACGTCATTTCTGGCCATCCACACATTCACTCCTGTTGTACTTTGATATATCTATTATTTTGATTATTTTGTTAATCAGAATATCAGATCATCAGATTTCCCTAAACCGTTTTTAACCATTAAATGACCGTAATTCAACTCCAAACTTCATAAAGTCGGTCTTATGATCTTAATATCATACATAAAAATGAAAAGATTTTATTTTTTTCTTTAAGTAAATTTACTTTAAAATAGTCTCATTTTATTATTAATTTGGCAATGAAATATTTTATAAAATTTCAGCAAAATCAGCAAAATCAGCAAAAATACATCATATCCAGCTGTTACACTGCATAATCTGATGTATAAATGTAAAATAACAACCTTCTAACGGTTATAAAATAATAACTAAAAAAAATCATAATGTTCAATGAAGTTGCAGGTCCCAGGAATATACTGCATGTAAAAGGGTCAGTGAGTTTCAAAATAATCATACAGTATCTTTCCTTTGTGATAATTCTCGCTGAAATACTGACTGATGTTACTATAATTCCGGCCCTGAAAAAGATGCGTTCAGATTTTTTTTTTTTTTTGACACAACCTTATCCTTAAAGTCGCCCGGAAAAGATCAGGATCGGTGGATTCGTGCAACAATCGGTAGATTCGGCAAAATAGTGTTTCAGAACCGAGAGGTAACAAGAGATCGGCACTCATTTACTATTAGCTCTGGCCAGAATTACATAATGTGGAATTATCCAAAAAAAAAAGAATGTTAACTTTACGCAAACTTTGACACTTTGTATACTTTTTATGTATTGCTCGGAGTCCTAGTATTTCCCTGATTTGACCTGGTTTAAAAATCGTATCTATGTACCAAAACGATCGGCGATCTTGAATGCTACGGTATAACCAATATACCTTGTATCACTCTGATTTGCGTTTAAGTTTACAAAAAAGGAAAAATTATAATTAATAAAAATTTGTAAAACCATATGTTTCTTATATTTGTAACACAATCATACGTCTTCTTTTAAAATTTTAAATCTTTTTAAAAAAAAAGAAACCAAAAATGTCTCAACTTCCCGCTGATTGTTTGTATGAGATTTTCAAATACTTAGAAAATGATAAAGTTACTTTAAATTCATGTATATTAGTTAATCGATTTTGGTGTGAGGTTTCGGTGAGGATTTTTTGGAGAAATGTTTGGAATTAAAATACTTTAAATTTTAGAACTTTAATTGCTTGCCTTTCAAACAAGTCATAAGAAATTTTATGTGAGAATGGAATTATTATTTCGACCCCAACTTCAAAATTTCCAACTTACAATTATGCATCATTTTGTAAAGTTTTATCAGTTGAACAAGTTTTATAATAAGATAAATTTACTTCTTAAAAGAACTATTTCATCAAAAGATTCCAATAATATTAAACATATGTTACCAATAGTAGTACAAGAAATATTTAAATTGTTTATAAAACATGTATCTTCTTTAAAAAAATTAGAAATATTATCATTTTGTCAATGGCAATCTCCACCCAATGTCGGACAACTTCCCGACAACCTTTTTTCCGACATACCCTTTACCCGACAACGATTACCCGACAAGACATATTCCCGAATGAACATTTTACCGACATGACACATTCCCTAATGGACATTATACCGACATGCTATTTTTCCTGACATGACATTATCCCAACAACAC